GGTCACGGTGATCGCCAGCCCAGGGAACATCACCATCCACCAGCGTGGGATCAAGCCGGCCGCCACCGGGCCACCCAGCATGTTCCCCCATGTGGCAGTGGGCAGCGGTACACCAACGCCCAGGAACCCCAGCGATGCCTCAAGGATGATGACTGAGCCAAGGTGGGCGGTGGCCAGCACCAGCCACGGGGCCACACATTGCGGCGCGATGTGCCGTATCATCACACGGGTGCCGCTCGCGCCGATAGCGTGCGCCGCATCCACGTATGCGTATTCCTTCACGCTTAACGTCACTGACCTTATCACGCGCACCGCTATCGGAATTCGTGTGACGCCTATGGCGACGATTACCGTCCATACCCCTGCGCCCATCGCCAACACCAGAATCATCGCCAGGATCAGCGTTGGGAACGACATCATAAGTTCCAGGAATCGCTGGCTGTAGATGTCAAATCGGCCCCCGATGTAACCCGCTGCAACGCCCCAGGCAGCCCCCAAAAAGTCGCCTACCACCACCGCCACCAGTGCGACGAACAGCGATATTCTTGCGCCGTGGATCACCCTGCTGTATAGGTCCCGACCGATGTCGTCGGTGCCCATCCAATGGGCCGCGCTGGGCTCTTCTCGCAAAGCCTTGAAGTCTGCTTCTTGGGTGGGATGGTGCGTGGCCACGACGGGTGCGAACACCGCGATGGCCACGATCACAATAATTGCAATCCCGCTGACCGCCCCCATGGGGTTGCGCTGGCAAAAATGTATGATGACCCACCACCAGCCGCGCTGGGGACGCGCCCCCTCCTGAACCAGGACTTCGCCCTCGGCTCCGGTGGTTGTCGCCGGGTTTATTTGCGCCACGATGCCGCTCCTGTTGCCATTGGCCCCTCTTCCTTGATGGGAGGGTTGGGGTGAGGGTGCAGATCTCAGCCCTGATTAGCCGAACCGAATTCGTGGATCTATCCAAGCGTAGGATATGTCCACCAGCAGGTTGGTAAACACGAACACGATGCCGTACAGCAACACCAGGTTCTGTATCACCACGTAGTCGCGTTCAAAGAATGCTGCTACCAGCGTGCGCCCCAGTCCCGGGACTCCGAATGCCTGCTCTACCGCCACCGACCCGCCGATGAGGAAACCGAGCAATACGCCCGACAGGGTAATCACCGGCATGATAGCGTTGCGCAAAGCGTGCCGCATTATTACCAATCGTTCGGCCAGCCCCTTGGCGCGTGCCGTTCGTATGTAGTCCTCGTGAATCGTTTCCAGCAGAGCCGATCGGGACATCCGGCACACATACGCCGCTTGTCCAAGTCCCAGCACCAGCGCCGGCCCCCACACGATCTGCAGGTTTTTCCACGGGTCTTCCCACAAGTTGATGACCCCCAGCGGCGCTTTCCATTCCAGCGTCAGCACCAGCGTCAATACGATCACCGTACGCCTAACCAGAAATTCGGTATCGCCAGGAAAAGTATCGAAAAGAACCGGCCGGCGTAGTCCAGCGCGCTGTTCCGTTTCATGGCCGCCAGTATCCCCACCGGCAGCCCGATCACCCACGAAAGGATCACCGAGAAAATGGCAATTTCCAGCGTGATCGGCCCCCGGTTGATGATCAGGTCCATCACGGTGTGGGAACGCCAGAAAGACTGTCCCAGCTTCAGGGTAACGATGTCCTCCAGCCAGTCCACGTATTGCAGGTAGATCGGCTTGTCCAGTCCGAGGCTGGCCATGATGCGCTGGCGGTCTTCCTCACTGAGTTGCAGTGTTCCTTCTTCCCCGAACATCACCGTCAAAACGTCGCCCGGCAGTATCCGCATCACCAGAAAGATGATGATCGTCAACCCGATTAGCGCCGGGATCGCCAGTAAAACCCGGCGCAGAATATACTTTTGCATCACGCCCTCTCCCCGGGTTGATTATCCTCTAACCGTCGGTCCGACCTTGCTAGTTAGTAAGGGCGGGTTTGAAACCCGCCCCGCGTAGTTCCGTTATTGGCGACACTCGTCATCCATCCAGACTGTATCCATTCGGTCCAGGTTGTGGACCAGCGCCCCGTGCTTGCCTTCGATGCCGTGCACACAGGTGCGCCATGCTGCCAGCGTGCGGTTGTACCAGTACTCCACCGTGGGCGGATCCTCGTCCAAGACCGCAGCCGCTTGTTGCACCAGGTCGTACCTCTTATCGATGTCCCCTTCAGCATCCACCTTT